AAAAAAAAAAAAAACTTCAACATAGACCATTCAATGTGCTTATTACAAAAGATGGCATCAGGCTGGGTGAGGTGGCTCACACCTGTAATCTTAGCACTTGGGAGGCCAAGGTGGGTGGATTGCCCGAGCTCACAGTTTCGAGACCACCCTGAGCCACAGCAAGACCCCATCTCTAAGACAGAGCCAGGCCTTATGGTGGGGGCCTATAGTCCCAGCTAGTTGGGAGGCTGAGGCAAGAGGATGACTTGAGTCCAAGTGCTGCACTGCAAGGTAAGACGCCACAGCACTCTACCAAGGGGGACCAAGTGAGACTCTGTCTCAAAAAAGAAAAGATGGCATCACAAGACAACTCTTTTTAAGGTCGCATTTTAGGGAGCACAGATACTAAGGTGGCTTTATCCTATCTTGGAGAGACAGTGCAGGCTTTAAGTTACTAACAAGAAAGAAAACTGCCAGGCGTGGTGGCTCACACCTATAATCCTAGCACTCTGGGAGCCCCAGGCAGGTGGATTGCTTGAGCTCAGGAGTTTAAGACCAGCCTGAGCTAAAGCAAGACCCTGTCTCTACTAAAAATAGAAAAATTAGCCAGGGATTGTGGCAGGTGCCTATAGTCGCAGCTACTCGGGTCACTTGAACCCAAGTGTTTGAGGTTGCTGTGAACTACGATGACACTATGACACTCAACCATAGGGCAACAGAGTGAGACTGTCTCAAAGAAAAAAAAAATCAAAACACATCATACTTTAGGGGAAAAGGCCTATTTCCTACCAGCCTACTATTTTCTTTTTCTTGTTTTTGAGACAGAGTCTTCAGCTGTCGCCCTGGGTAGAGTCCCACAGTGTCAGCATAGCTCACAGCAACCTCCAACTCTTGAGCTCAAGCAATCCTCTTGCCTCAGTTTTTCTTTTTTCTTTTTGTAGAGACAGAGTCCAACTTTATCACCCTCGGTAGAGTGCTGTGGTGTCACACAGCTCACAGCAACCTCCAACTCCTGGGCTCAGGCGATTCTCTTGCCTCAGCCTCCCAAGTAACTGGGACTACAGGTGCCCACCACAATGCCCAGCTATTTTTTTCATTGCAGTTTGGCCTGAGCCGGGTTTGAACCCGCCACCCTCAGTATATGGGGCTGGTGCCCTACTCACTGAGCCATAGGCGCCACCCTCTTTTTTCTTTTCCTTTTCTCTTTTTGTTGAGACAGTCTCACTTTGTCACTCTCGATAGAGTGCCACGGCATCACAGCTCAGAGCAACCTTAAACTCCTGGGCTCAAATGATTCTGTTGCCTCAGCCTCCAAAATAGCTGGGACAACAGGCACCCGCCACAACACCTGGCTATTTTTAGAGATGAGATCTCACTCTGGCTCAGGCTGGTCTGGAACTTGTAAGCTCAGACAATCCACCCACCTCAACCTCCCAGAGTGCTAGGATTACAGGCATGAGGCACCACGCCTGGCCACCCTACTATTTTCTGTAATGACTGAGGGGCTCTAGGCCTTCCTGGCCAAAGATCTTTGGAAAACAGAAATAATCGCTCAGGTAATTTTATTTATCCTTGGTTGTAGAGACCTGTCTTGGATTCAACTGCATGAAACAGCTAAGATGCTTTTGAAGATCTGACAGGCCTGTAAACAATAGGATGGAAAAATAATTTCTCCAGGTTTTCTCCCTCTTAGACAAGTTCAGAGCCCAGTTCTTAAGACCTAGGCACCCTCACCTCCATTCCGGTGCTTTAGCGCCAGGCAGACTTCAATAATCTGGACACCCAATTCATAATAGAAGTCCCCCACACCTAGCATCTCAGACCAAAATCCTTTTCCAGCTACAAAACAGAAAAGTAAAACCTTAGTTACTCAGTAATTTACATCCTTTCTTTTCATTCAAAGCCTGATTAAAACATGTTAAGCCCAAAGTCATTCCCTGCCTAGCCCAAAGTCATTCTGCTACTCAGGATTCTTTGAAATAACCTAATTCTTGGTAACTTTTGCAGAACAGGCTCAGATAATTTCAAAGAGTGGGCAATCTAAAAGTCACTTCTACTTGGCTGCTACTTCTGGCTCAGGATCCTGGAAAAACGAGTTTTCCTTTCACAACACATACTACGAAATATAATGGGAAAAAAAAAGAAATATAATGGGAGATATAATGTCTTAGTCTTAGACAAGACTAAGAGAAAGAATATCAAACTTGGTTGGAACATCAAAATTTGATTGTAGTTGTCATTGTTGTTTGCCAGGCCTGGGCTGGATTCAAACCTACCAGCTCCGGTGTATGTGGCTAGTGCCCTAGCCGCTTGAACTACAGGCACCGAGCCTAGAGTATTATAATCTTATGGGACCACCATCATATATCTTATCCATTGTGACAGAAAAATTATATGGCACCTGACTGTACCTTAAACTGTCTACAGGCTCAGCGCCTATGGCTCAAGTGGCTAAGGCGTCAGCCACATACACCTAAGGTGGCGGGTTCGAATCCAGCCTGGGCCCACCAAACAACAATGATGGTTGCAACCAAAAAAAAAAAA